GAGCAAGCGGCGTCAATGTCGGCTGGTCGAGGGAGGAGAAGGTCGGCGAAGATGCGGCCTTTCCGTCCACCGTGGTGCAACTCGAATGGAGTCACGCCGATCGCCGGGTGCACCGAAGTGTTGTAGGCGAACTCGATGTCGGGGAGGCGGTCAACCCAATCTTTCTGGTCCGGACGAATGAGCGTACGAAGCATCATTTGAGCGGTTTGATGTGCCCGCTCCGTCTACCCGTCTGTCTGAGGATGTCGAGACGAACTTGGTTTCATTGTTGTGCCAGACTCCTGCATGAGAGCAGTCCAAAACGCCGACATGAAACGAGTGTTGCGGTCGCTGACAAGGTCTTCTGGTACACCGTGGCCACAAATCCAACCAGTGTGCAGGAGGCGTGCCAACTCGTGAGCCGTGGAGTAGTACTTGCAAGGGAGAAAACGCGCGTACTTACTCAATCGGTCCACAACCGTGAGGATGTCATCGTGCCCGAGCCGGTCGCGAGGAAACGGACCGGTGACGTCCATGGCAATGGAGAGACCGGGTTCCCGTGGGATAGGCATCGGGTGTAACTCGCCGTAGGGATTGCGGTTGCGGGGCTTGCTGCGTCAGCAAACTTCGCAAGAGTCGCAATACCGAGTGACATCGGTAATGAGGTCGGGCCATCGGAATCGCTGTCGAAGCCGTGCAATAGTGCGGTTGACTCCGAAATGGCCGGCGAGTCGTGAATCATGATACTCGCCAAGGAGGCGAGTCCGAAGATGACGGTCGCGTGGGACACATAGTAAGTCCTTGCCTCTCGAGTGGAGGAGCAAGTACCCGTCGGCAATGCGGTAATGGCTGGCCGGCGGGTGATCCGAAGATAGTTGTGCATAGAGCGTGCCGAAGTCCGGATCAGACTGATATGCCCGGATGAAGTGTCGCTGAAGCTCCTCGTCGAATGCGAAGGCATGATGTGTCATAGCGCAAAGATCGGGTCTTCGCGAGAGTACATCTGCTGCGCAATTTGAGAGGCCGGGCAGATGTTTCGGTGTGAAGTCAAATTGGTCGACGAAGTACATCCATCGTCTGATCGTGCCGCTCACCGTATCCTGCGTCTTGTAGTAAGTCAATGGATTGTTGTCCGTGACCCATGTGAACCTACGACGCCCAAGGAGGAAGTGCCGCCATCGCTTGAGAGCCATGACGAATGCGAGCAGCTCCTTCTTCCTTGCATCATCAAGCGAGTTGATGGGAGGCACTTTGTGGCTGAAATACTCCACATGGTGCCAGTCATCGCCGTCGTGCTATTCCAAGACTGCCCCAATGCCATAGCCGGAATGTCCGTAGTCACTCGCGTCGGCAGGGTGGGGTCATAGATGCTAAGGACAGGTGCCATGAGCATACCCGTCTTAAGTGCTTGGAATGACCGGCGTGCGGCATCATCGAATACGAATGGCACCTTTGGCGACTGTAACCTCGTCATAGGTGCAGCAATCTTGGAGTACCCGGTGATGAATCGCTGATAGTAGCCCGCCAATCCCATGAATGAACGAACGTCTGTGGTGTTGGTGGGCTCGGGCCACACTCGTAGGGCCTCGATCTTGTTCGCAAGCGGACGGATGCCTTGCGGCGTCACATAGTGTCCCAAGTATTCCAGCTCCTGGTGTGCAAACTCGCACTTGTCGCGGTTTGCTTTGTACTTGGCTTGTCGTAACCGCTCCAAAACGGTGCGCAGGTGTTCCACATGCTCGTCCAAACTCCGACTATACACCAAGATGTCGTCGAGGTAGATGAGTACAAACCGATCCAGCATGTGTCGGAACTCCGTTGTCATAGCCGCTTGGAAAGTGGCTGGGGCATTCGTAAGGCCAAACGACATGACCAGCCATTCGAAATGCCCATACCGTGTCTTAAACGCGGTCTTATAGCGATCCTCCTTGCGAATCTCGAGTTGGTGGTACCCTGACTTGAGATCCAGCTTAGAGAAGAACTGGGCGCCGCCCAATCGCTCGAGAAGGTCGTCGATGCGTGGGAGAGGTCCGGCGTTCCTGATCGTCTGCGCGTCGAGCTTGCGATGATCGATGCACAACCGCAGGTCCTTGTTCTTCTTCCGGACGAAGAGGACAGGAGCACCGTATGGCGATGAGCTAGGCCGAATCCAACCTTTCTCTAGAAGATCGTCGAGTTGTGCACGGAGCACACTTAACTCTTCCTCGCTCATTCGATAGATACAGCCGCGCGGAGGTACGGCCCCGTCCTCGAGGATGATCTCGTGGCGGATGGGCCGATCCGGTACTACTCCGTGCGGGCCTTCGAACACATCGCTGTAAGCATCGAGAAGCTCGGTGATGCGTGGATCCGAAGATGAGTCCGTCGATGAAGCGTCTCGGGGCGGGAGGGCGTGGAGAAAACATACCCCCATCTCCTCGATGTCGTCTCTGATGATGGATGCTCGCATGCTTGCGGCGGATACCACATGGCAGTTGATAGAAGGATGAGGAAGAGGCACCGTGCATGGAACTAGTACTCCGTTCCGATCACGAATGTGAACGGTGCGGTTGAAGAAGTTCACCGGGTGATCCTCGCTTCGCAGCCATGACATGCCCAAGATCATGTCAAATTTGGTGTCCAGAATGTCAAAGGACACCGCCTCACTTGCGTGAGGGGCAAAGTACACGGGGACGGCGTCAATGCACCGGTCGATTGACTTGTGCGTATGACCGTCTGCCAACGTGACTTGTGTAGGCTGGGACTTCCTTCGGACACGTGGGCCAAGGCCGGCGCGCACCATGAAGTCCTAGCTGATGTAGTTGCGAGATGCTCCGCAATCGACCAACGCACTGCAGGTCGCCTCACCGATCTGAATGCGTATGTATAGCAATGGTGCGTCGATGTCGTCGTATCGTTGCGTCTTGAACTCGCGATCAATCTTCGCGATGTACTCGTGAAGGTTGACAACCTCTACTCCGTCGTCCATCAACGGAGCTGGTACTGCAGTGTGCAAGTAGTCCCGCAGTTGTGCCATGAGCACATTGCAATGCGGTTTCGGCAATCGTCCGGTCGAGGGAACGGGCATCCACTGGAAGTCCGTGAACGTCAACGGGTCGAGCTCATCAAGTCTTGACCATGACGTCGAATCCCCGGCGATAGATTGCAGCGAAGGTGCCGAATCTGTTGCCGATGGTGATGAAACCGTGCATGCGATGGACTGTTGCACGTGGAGCGGCTGGTCCAGCGGTGGAACCAAGTAGACAGCATCGTCCTCGTAAGAGTAACGAGAACTTGCGACATTCGCGTCCTCCCCAGATGTGCAGGAGGCTGCTAGCAAGGCGGACGAATCTGGCGGAGTGGAAGGTGGAGTCACCTCACCTTCCGCGGAGCTCAGTTTCCCGAGCTGAGGCGGGGTCGCACATCCTCCTTGCCCTGATCCTGGCACAGGGAGGTCTTGTGCTTGGTGCTGTTGCACCAA